TTGACCTTACAGTAGCACAGTGGTGCACTTTAAGTGGGGACGACCGATTTCAAGCATGACTTGTCAACCCAACCACCTGACAATGTGGGTTGTATGCCAGGCAGGGAGTGCAGTTGTGACAATCTTCTCCACACTTCGGTGCCCTTAGCTTAGAAGCTACTTCTATTTCCGCTGAGGACCCGACATAGCTCCGTCTTTTCTTGGCGCTTATTCCGAGGCGCGAAAGAAGAAGTTCCCCATCGACACCCTCATTTGGACCTTCCATTTCCTGAAGAAGGAAATCACAGAGCATCCCAAGCCCGAGGACGGCGGCGCCGTCCGAGATGTATCCTCGGATACTCCTGGTGACCAATAGAAGTACTTAAGGATATAGTAAGGATATGCAGGATGCCCTTGGCCAACCACTCTTTTGAGTATAGACGTGTTACAGGTAATTGTAGCTGTCTTTTGCACTGAGACTTTTCCTGAGCTCTTTGCCAAGTGCCTCTGGCACAAGAACATTACAGTAACGGATATCTCTCACCTTCTGCTGCTGGTGAAGCTGGCAGGGGAACTCTTCATCTGAACGTTTCATATCCATCGTCAGCTGGGCAGAATCTGCATTCACCGAGTAGTGACGCACAGCTGGTCGCCGATGTGTAGCGGTGGTCCACCTGAACATCTGGTCAAATCACCGCTGCCGCGAATCGGTTTCCCTGCGAAAAGAATTGCTTCAATAGCCCTTGGGAACGGTGTCATCCCTGCTTGCACAAAGCGATTGCAGAGTAGCTGTGTGCCAACCTGCCAGAACCTGCCACATGCTGTACGTGTGGTGCACCTGCATGCCAGGCACAGATTCCGCAATTGGTTTGCGAATGCATGGGTTCCTAACAAATTTGCTTTTGTGAATGTGCACGCCACAAGCCAAAGACGTCAGAAATCCAACTCATGGCTGCCTGGCAGCGGCTCATTCAATTGTTGAAACGATCTGAGCCAACCTAGTTTCTTTGGTCGAGGTGGACCTACGCTGCTGAATGCTGTGGACTGTGGAAGTAAATTGCAGCTACATGCGGTCCTACGAGCCCCGAAATTCCAATTCTCCATCAGCCGAGTTTTCCACATCAGTCAAGTGGCTGGTTGAGGAACGTCAGGGGATCCCCCAAATCTGTGAATGGCCAGGTTTAGGTGGCCGCTTCTAAACACAGTACCTGGATAATCCTGGATACAATGATATACAATGCACCACCATGCGCACCGGAATGCAGGCCCGAGAGCCTTGGTTCTGAGAGACACGGCTGACTTTTTCCAGGAGGGGTGTATCGTCTATGGCCTCTTCATGGATGGTGCCAGATGGGATAACGAGAAGCAGGTCATCCAGGATAGCCTTCCCAAGGTGCGCACACGTGAGCACCAAACCAAGCACCGGGTGGGCCAGACCTCGCGGATTTCTGTGTGAAGATGTCCAGGGAGCTGTGGAGGGTTTTGGAGAGTTGTTTTGGATGAATCAACATGAACCAACTGGAAAATAGGTGTCCATCCATATTTGGTGGTTTAAGACGGTCTATTTGGATGCATTCTCGCGGGACGACCATGAATTTGGACGCTTCATGCGCGCAACGCGGATACGTTGGTTCAGGTGCTCTTCAGCGAGATACCGCACATGCACTGGATCCCCTGTGAGAAAGACAAGGACCAGCGGCGGAGGTCTCCAGTGGTACATGTCCCCATGGGTGGCAGGATCCCACACTGCCTGCCACATGGGAAGAAGTAGACTAAGTAGACGTCTGGGGAGCTCGGAGGGTCATACTACTACATCCCTCCAAAATCGACGATCTACCCTCCGACTCACTCACATGGAAGTGGATGGCACCTCCTGTTCGTAATGGAAAGTTGTCTTCCAAGGGACCGTTGCCACTTCCATGTTAGTGAGTCAGAGTGTAGAATTATGACTGTTTTCTTTCTAGCTTTCTCTATTGGCCTGAGTTTGGTGCCTTTAGTTAGCTTCCTTTTTCCTTCCGGGAACCTCCAAGCACCCACAGAACGGCAGGTACATGACGTGCATATACTGCAAGACAACTTTAATAACTTTGATATATTCAAATATCAATATCAATTATCATCATTCCCTGTTTGTTGCATGTTCACCCATATATGTCCTGGAGCTCAACAGCAGCTCCCCGCTGACCAGGACCCCACGGACCTGTCGAAGGTCTACCCCTCGCCAATCTACAAGACCTCCGAGCGGAAGGTGAGGGGCATCGGTCTGGGTGGTCGGATTGATTGGAGAGGAAAACAGAGCCAAAGAGTAGCGTCCTAGTTACTGTAGTGGTAAGGCCAGGAGCTACTAGTGGGCTTCTTGTTACTGGTAGTAAGGCTTGGTGAAAGACCTTCGCACCGTAAGAGGCTCCGCCCCGACGAAGTGTTTTTGCAGCGGGGCATGGGCTGGTCGAAGTTGGGTCACGCAGTGAAAGAGTACGGGGAGTTTTCCAGTGCACAGCTTTCGAGTAGCCACGGCCACAGCAATTGCGCCGTGATTATATAGGTGAAAAGACTACGCGTTACGTTGCAATTGGGCTTGTGCATGCCTTCATTAGTTGTACTGATTCCCGGCTTGATGGACTCAGATCTCTGCCTCTTCGCTCGTCTTCGCTTCCTACACCCGACCTGCCGCGGAGGGCGTGCTCTCCACCACGGGGCACTCCACGAACTTCGTGTGTACCATCAAGATACCTATCGCCCCGCGACGCATGGGATGTGATGGGATGCTGGGAAGACGTCGGGAAGCAGATGAGGTGGGACGATCATGTTGATGCATATGTACATATGATTGCATATATATATAATATGTGTGTGTTTCAATGGGTGGGGGCGCTGGTTGATTCCATAGTCAATCAGGAATCAGGACTGATCTCGGTGTAGATCTCGGTGGTCGGAAGGGCTGCATATCGGCTGGAGAGCGCTGCTCCTACCAACCACCTGACATCACCTGACCATGTTCCCAAAAGGGTATCAGACCGAAGCACTGTTGCTTTAACCATTCCTCAAGTGACTCAAGTGGCTCGTTCTCAGGCAGCGAGAAATGATGAGAAATGCAAAAAAAGACAAATGCTCATGCGGATCATATATAGTGTGAGGTCCAAGACAACTCCACGACACTTGGAGATGAGTTGTCTCGCACTTTCAGGACCCATCAGACTGGTAGCAGAAGTTGTAAGTTATATTATATTATATGACCTGTGCGGCGGGTCTCAAATGCTGGACCGTGGAAGATCCTGGCTGGTTGCAGAACAGACATGAATTCGTTCTCTTGCGAGGCTCCCCAGCATGCATGACACACACCAACAGGGTCGCGCAGCCTCTCACCCAAGGCGCCGGAGCACAGCGCCAAGTTCTGGATCAAGCGCGGTGTGGCATGCCTTTGCCACTCGGGCCAGACAATTGGCACATGTTGACACCCCAAGAAGGTAGGATTGGGTAGGCTCTAAGTATATGCTTACTGATGCCCAGCTGCAAAAACATGGCTGGACCCCGTGTTTGCTCAGGTCAACTTGATGATTGAGACCGTAGCAGCAGTGGTCTTCAGGGACCAGGTCCGCAACTTCTCAGAAGTCCGTCAGTAAAGCACCGAAAATATACGAGTCGTTCGAGGATTGTTCGAAACATTTTTCTACATGAGTCGGGCTCTTCGGGAGTAGGCGGACGTGACGGACGTGTATTGGTTCTTAGGACGTCTCACAAAGTCTCACAGCAAGCCTGTTGAAGATGGGCTTTGGTGTCACAAGGTTGCAGGTGGGGCTGGTGTGCCTACTGGCAGACCCGCACCAGACATCGCCAAACGAGTCACCAAACCAGTCACCATCAGCCGCATGAGTTTCTCACGCCCCAAGAATGGTCGATGAGTTCAATCGGTTTAAAATTGGCTCGACGGCTGAAAGCCAGAGAGTCCACCTGGGTGCCATCACTAGGAATTCCGAGAAACAAGTTACATCAAGCTACACAAGAACAAATTGGAAACATCATAATTAACAATCCTTCTTACTTGACACGCGCGACTTGTACATCGGAAGATACTTGTGGTAAATGAATGGCACCAGGAATGCATTTCCGGGAGTGCATCACTTTGTGAAAAGAGTTATGCTGGCCAAGACAGGCTGTTCAGCATACGATCAGCATGAGCTTAGAAGCATTGGTGAGAAAAAAAAAACACGGTGGAAGTGGGTGGTGAAAAGGTTCCTATTCCGACTCTACCCACCTCGCAAAAAGTCAATATTGTTCATCTCTAGGAAGGCCTAGTGGAGAATTCTTCACAGGCACTGGTGGCCTTTTAGAACGCAGAAGACTTGGACAGCACCTGTGCAGATGGAATGAGCTTGGCCAATTCAGATTGCAGGGAATAGCTGGTGGATTTTGCGTCAACATCTTTCAACAGAGAATTCCAGAGAATTCTCGAAGTCAAGGAAGGGGGCCCTCAGACTTCTGGTGCTTTGGAAACGGACCAAATTCAGATTGGGAGATGTGAGGTTTCTCCGTGCCTCTGGGGGCTCCAGTTGGTGCTCGCCAAAGGGGCGAGATGGAGAGAGAAGTCATGCCGTGTGGAAAAGTCGTGAGGTCAACGGCTTTTTTTGTGCGACATGGGTTTCCCCGACTCATTTGAATCATTCGAAGAGGAAATCTGAGGACATGCCTCGGGCACGCCGGAGAGGAGTGTACACAGTTGTGAGGACAGTGCTATGTACAGAGTGCTTCATAAAGTGTTGCTTGTGTCAAGTTTTCTCAGCTTATTCTCACGGTCTCAGTGTGCGTGTGACGAGCGATATCCTCTCTCTACTCTCAGCATGAGTTACTCTCTCAGTGCTATGCTAGATGTGGAACCCTGTGATTGGAACAGGGGATCATCCATTTCGCCGACTCTACATCAGTGAACGCCACCCTGGTTGACTTGGATGCTTCCCAACCAAGTCAACCGCTTTCCCACCGTCATTCTCCTGACGCGACCGTGTTTGAACCTCCGTCGCTGTTTGAGCAGCTCACGCTCCGATGGGAATCCGTCCGTCCGAGCGTGGAGCTCCTTGGGCAGATGAAGATGTAGCCTGCGACATGCTGCGACATGGGTGATTGAAAGTTGCTTGAGCCATCCAACTATCACAGGCCACGACGGGCGAAGATACATCAACCCAAAAGCTTTGGCCCCTGCAGAGTCTTTGAGGCCCTGGGTTGAGGAAGGCTGCAGAAGCAATCTGCACGGTATCACATTCACATGATGTGGCTGTCAAGCTGGTGCAAAATATCACCCTCTCACATGCCCCTAACCTGGGCTTCATGCCCCCCCAATTCTTAGGGCTTTGTGTGCTCTGGGTCTCAAATTGCTAAGTCTCTGCATTTGCAGGTCATTCCGCTGTGAGCACCCAAGGTGTCAGCCTACTATATAGCTTCCAGCAATCAGTTGATGCAGCCTTATATGCAGCTCTCTTAGTCACTGGGGCACGCAAAGGAAGATGGAGTAGGCCGTCAGTGCTGTGGCACACACAGATATATATATATATATACGCACATATATACACACTCGCATCACCGAAGCGTTATAGCTTTGGCTCGATTTCAGTTGTTCGATGGGCCATAGTAGGTCTCATGTCCTTTTTGCTTCTTTGGAACCGAGTACCTGTGGCTACCTGCCGCTTTTTTCCTGTGGAACAAGGGGCACCTGCCACCAGGCTTCCTCAGGGTCAATATAAACAGCTGCCCACCAAGCACGCGACCTCTGCCAGCAGGTCACCACAAAGCTGCAAAAACGTACAAAGCTCTCCTAGGAATGGTCAACTTCGTCTTCTGGCTGACCGGCCTCATCCACACTGCGGCCATCGTCCACCATGCGGACCAGACGACCGAGCTGAGGCTGTGATGCGAGGTCGAGACTAGAACAGATGCAGAAACAAAGAGTCGTTTCTTCGCAATGCTCTGAAATCTTTGCAGTGCATCAGCCTGCCGTTAACGCTGCTTATGAGACGTTTGTCCTTTTTTACATTTTTAGTTTTCTTCAGAAATGCAGAAATACATATGGACTTGCTGGCAATGCTGGCCATGGTGCTGCTGATCGAATCGGTGGCCGAGGGCCAGGGTGATGATGGCGACCACGGTACAACATGACTTGTGATGGTAGTGATGCAGTAGCTGTGGTGGTGGCATGTGGTGGTGAGGAGCAGCACCTCAGGAGTAAATCATGTTGATTGATCAACCCCACATGGATGGTCTACCGTAATTGCTGGCTTTTTCTTCCATCCCTTGCCCAGGGATCACTGGACGGCTGATGCGGTACCCAATCCAATGAAGAGTCCGGAGCAGTGTGGCCGCGTGGCCGCGTGGCCGTCCGCTTCCGGACATCGGTGAAGGAGACCATAGGAGACCATCCGATTTGGGGAGGGATGGTCTGCGCCTCACCCATGATAAAGTTTAATCTATAAGGTTTGGGGATTTTGACATGCTTTTATAGATGGCGCGGGATTTGTGTGAGTCGATGAAACATTACATCATCATATCAGGACATCTCATCACACCTATAAAGGACACACTTCAAAGATCTTCAAAGTACGTCAGAAAATAGGACAAGACCGCCAACAAAAATGTTGAAACACAGACGCCCAATGTGAGCTCCAGGTACAAAGCAGTCGGCCCCAGGTAGGAGAAAACTATGCCCTTTCGATAAATCCATGCTCACTGCGCCGAAGCTCTGTCTCGAAAAAACAGCCTGAGGTCTTTCAGCACCAGGACATCTCTGCGATCCGGATCTATTGCTTTCCGAGAACGAACGGCGAGACATTGAGCAGGCCCTGAGGGGAAGGACGCTTCGGTCATCGATCGTGCTGGCACACCTGCAAAGCCTTTGCTGGGAAGGCTCCGGGGAAGTTTTCGGGGAAGGCGTCTTCCAAAAAGATACGAACGTGGAACGCGCCACCCCTGTGCAGAGCAGTTGTCTCATCTCAAAGACTGATGCACCAGGACGATGCTGGCGGCTCAAATCCCTGAAGGGGTGGTTTGGAGCAAGTGCCTTAACTAGCCGACTCGGAAGCCAATGGTCAATGGCTTGGTTGGAGGGATGTCTATATATATATATATAGATGGAATCCTTAATTGTTTAGAGAGAAGGTGGCCAACATACAAAATACCGGCATGTCTAATGGGGATCTGAAGGTTAAACGCACACTCACCCGCCGCCTGCAACTTCACACATGATTGAGTCTCCCAGTTTTTGGTCACATCCAACGCCCAGAGTCAAGCCCTTTGACATGCATTTGTCCTCCCAGATGCGGCCTGGTTTTTCCACTGCCTGTGACCCCTCGGAGGTCCTCCTGAACATCACCCGACAGACTGGAGTGATGTGCCCTGATGGCCGCTTGGCGCTCGATGAGACGGCATTCTTCGCGGTTCTTCAGCCTCCCAGCAGACCGGAGTGGGACTCCCAAACTTGTTTACCCTGTTAACGTTTTAGGCATTTAATGGAAAAAAAAGGCATACAATGGATTATGATGGTGTTGAATGATATTGATGAATCACCTTGCAGGTGAAAATGTATATCAGAGCTGCGACGTCTATATATTGCATAGCAGAAGGCCGTTTTCCACCCGTTTGAGTGGAGCAGTGGAGCATGATTGCCATTTTTTCAGGGGACCAGCACCGGGTGCTGGTCGCAGCTTTGATCAGGGTTTTCTCGGTGGCACTGCATTCATGAAACTTAAGTTTGGACGTCCCCGCACCTCGACAAGGTCTTCGATGGGTGACATTGCACCACATGCAGTTGCATGTCAGGCCACCGAAGAGCCAAAGAGGATTCACAAGTTGATTCATGCGCTGATTCTAGCAGCATGCCGCATGCCAACTGGAGTGCCAACTGAGTATGTCTATATGCAAGCTTGCCTTTTGTTCGATGAACCCCTCCAGTGAGTTCCAAGGCAAAAATCATTCTTACCAAGCTGCCGTGCTGGTGGCAGCTCAGCTGAATTGATTGCACCGGTGCTCTTCTGCGGTGCCGACAACGCGCTGGGGCTGACTGAGGTGAGGAGCGTGGCACGCTCCGAATGGCTGGGCTGGTGGAACAAGGACCGGGGGTGACGGAGGTCTGGATTTGGGCGGCCAGAGGGGCCCAGGGGTGAGGGGAGATCATATATTCAATCGAAAGGTACACACTTTGACAATTGTATTCAGTTAACTCAGTTCCCCAAGGAAAGGAATGGCTCAACGGTAAGGTGAGGAGTCCGATCAATTGAAGATGTTTGAACAAGTGGTTTGTGCACATCTGCAGACTCGCGACAGCAGCGGACGAGCGGCGAACGGCAGCTGCTGGGGCAGAGTAGGTTTGTGGGGAGTATCATGAACCACCATGGAAACAAAAAAGGGAGATTGGACAGCGTGATCAACAGTTGAAGGTGCAGGTACACAGGGATGATCAGTCCCCGCATCCTGGTCGACTGCATGGAGCTTCGTTGGCGACAGCCATGCAGTGACCCTGTCGCCCCCTGCCGGTGAAACTGTGGGTAGAAAGTGGGGGTTGAAGTGACGGTAGGAAACCCTTGGCCCAGGGGTTGACACACACAGTTCGCCGTCATCGGCGCTTTTTTCAAAAGCGGTGGCAGGCGTTGTGTAGAACTTTGAAAGTGGAGCTTTGTGCAGAAAGCGCCAATATAGGCGCTGCGAAAAAAACTAATAGCCACCTAAAAAGCCTTAGAAAGACAGACAAAGCAAACAAAACAAAAGCAGACTAAGAGGGCAAGAAAGAAAGATAGGGGTAGTTACGAGGCCCACTTAATAGTTAAATGACACTTAGTTAAATGAAAGTAGAGCGCGAGCGGGACATTTGTCTTAAACCGCCCGGGTAGCTAGCAATAGGCTAGGATAACAGAAGGAAAGGCACCAACACACAAGTGTGTTGAGTGCGATTTCCTTCTGTTTCCCGAGTAGCGGGTGGGGTAGCAAAGGGCCCAGGGGTAGGGAGGGGGAAATGCACAGTTAATTTGTCCGGCCTGTGAATACTTAGCAGCACATGCACATGTGAATACTTAGCCGGAAACATGCAGAAAAACCTTGCAAACGTTGCACACTCTGAAACAGTCAGTTCCCGTGGTGAGGCCCGGCGGCCGTGGTGGCAGTTAATTCGGTGGTTGTGTAGGTGACTTCCTGTGGGATTTGTGTGAAGAGTGGTGAGGTCAGTTCCGGCCTGTGAATACTTAGCAGCATATGCACATGTGAATACTTAGCCGAAAACATGCAGAAGTAGAACGCGACGGAGTCTGTTGGACAATCAGTTCCCGTGGTGAGGCTCGGCAGCCTTTGTGGCAGTGGTTGTGTCGGTGACTTCCGGTGGAAATCCAGTGAAAAAAGTTGGGTCAGTTAGTGCTTGCACGATGAGACAGCGCCCCAATGACGGGGATCACACTCAGCACCCGAGTGGGGCGGCTGAGCGAAACACACTTTGACAATTGTATTCAGTTAACTCAATTCCCCAAGGAAAGGAATGGCTCAACGGTAAGGTGAGGAGTCCGATCAATTGAAGATGTTTGAACAAGTGGTTTGTGCACATCTGCAGACTCGCGACAGCAGCGGACGAGCGGCGAACGGCAGCTGCTGGGGCAGAGTAGGTTTGTGGGGAGTATCATGAACCACCATGGAAACAAAAAAGGGAGATTGGACAGCGTGATCAACAGTTGAAGGTGCAGGTACACAGGGATGATCAGTCCCCGCATCCTGGTCGACTGCATGGAGCTTCGTTGGCGACAGCCATGCAGTGACCCTGTCGCCCCCTGCCGGTGAAACTGTGGGTAGAAAGTGGGGGTTGAAGTGACGGTAGGAAACCCTTGGCCCAGGGGTTGACACACACACACACACATATATATATATATATTAGCAGTATATATATATATAAATAGCAGAAGAGGAAACAAAAGTGATCTGTGAATTCTAGTCTGCTTGGACCCCAGCAACCTGGGCCCAACGTTGGCTTTTTCGGGACCCCCCGCAGCCCCTTAGGTCGGTCCCACCGGTTCGTCACCGCCACCCGGCGCGTAGGAGCGGACGGGCGAAGCATTCGCCCATCATGTGGGAGATGCTTGGGGAGTTGGCCATGCTGGCTGCGATAATGGCGGGATCCTCACACCCTGCGGGAGCATTTTTTTTGGGGGGGTGGTTTTCAAAGGCGCTTGCTCTTTCTGCTGAAGGTTTGGGGTGATCTTGGGATATTTGGGGTACATGGTTTCTTCTATGAAAAGCTTCTTTGGGAGTGGAAGTCAATCTTGTTAAGTTTTGCTGTAGTGGAACCTGGGTGACATGAACAGATTGAGGATGCTCACTTTGCGAGTCAAACTCCTGGCTTGGAAGATGCGCCCGTGTTACTATAAACCCAAACCCAAATACTCCATGGGACTGGTATACATGCCTACATTGACCATCATTGACCCCTCAAACCACCCCAATGTAGGTGCTGTAAATATGGCAGTCCCGTGGAGTGTTTGGGAAATACATTGTGTCGTGTGACTTCCATGCTTGAAATGCAGTCCCCGTGTTGACAGATGAGGTGTGATGCTTTTCCTCTCCATCAGTGACCGCATGTTCTACCTGAAAACCGCCAAAAAGACTCGCGAAGTGCTGACGGATGGCCTTGCACAACGAATTTTGGACAACATGAAGCCGCTCCTGAAGGGTGGATACGTCGCTTGGACCGCTGAGACGTGAGCCGAGGTATGTCTTGTGCATCTTGTGAGTTCGTTTTGACGTGTTCAGGAGCTACTGCCTTCCAAGCATAACCCACAGTTGGTGAGTGTCGATGTGGATCATGGCCGTCGCAGTTGAAGAATTCCGCCTTGGAGCCGGCAAGTGGGCCCAAGTTTCCTCGGACCTAGCACGGTACCACAAAAATCAGAAGCAAGGATTTCTATGCCTCTATGCGATGCTGTGTGTCCCATTTCCTCCAGATCTTCCAGCAGAAAAAAGGGATCCCAAATCCACGAAACCCAACCTATCTCCCGCCCCTTGGACGAATGCTCCTTGAGGGAAACCAGGGACACTTGCTTCAAGGGTCACCGGCCCTTTGTCAGGTGGCTGATGCCATCCTCAAGGGCTCCTCGGAGATTCTCTTGGCGCTCCAGGGAAGCACCGTGCCCGTCGCCCGGTGTGGGAGTGGAGTGCGGTGCGGACGAAACGAAACCTGAAGCTGCTTGAGATGTCGCGACTGAGCTCCTTGAAGAAGGCCGAATGCTCAACTTAGAAACATGTGGACATATCTTAAAGCTTCTTAAAACCTTGGGGGGTTGGCGGTGCCGGTTCTTTTTGGCATTCTTTGAACTTATCCCATGCCTCCTGACATGTGATACACGGCACCGATTCTGAAACTCTAGTGAAGGTGAAGCTGATGAGTTTTCAGCTGCACTGTCTAAAGCCACGACTGGTTGGCTTCATTACCACTTCTTCTGCGTCGAACAGGGATGCCTGAAATCTCAGCCACGACCAAAGTCTGAGAAATCCTTCCAAAACCCAGCGGCATTGAGTGTGACACCGCGACACCCAGTGGTGTAATTATTCTTCTCCAGATTGGGACACCACATCGGGGGGTGACACCCGGCCGTTGTCTCCGCCCGGGATTCAGGCGAATCGATGGCGGAGGGCCGTTCCCACAGGTTTTCTGAATTCCAATAGGTGGAAACGGTAAACTTGTTTCCAAGGGCAACTGAAGGGGTCAGAATGTGGTTGCCACATACCATGGAGAACACGGAGAGAAAACGCCCTTTGATAGGGGGGGCGGCCAAGGCAGTTAACCTTGTGGGAATTGGAGGGGCATTGTCAGCAATGGAGGCAGAGAAGAATTTCCCTTATAAGTCAATCAATCAAAATCGATCCAATTCGAACGGATTAGAGTCCAAAACTGTCAGAGCCGATTTCAGACTCCATTCACCGACTCGAACCAGTGCTGAGATGTGCTGAGGTCTATCGGTCATGGGGTGACTACTTCACCATTTTCATTCTGAGTATCGTTTTCTGCTGCCATTTGCCACAGATCTTGGCATTCTTTCTCGTCGCGATTGCTGCAGTGTCTCACTGGCATGTTTGAGCTCCCTTGGAGCGATGCATGACTCATGTGAGAATGAAGCCTCATGCCTTGTTCGGTACATTCTTGGAAGGCCGTGGTTTTACAGATGCTTCAATTATCGGTAAAGGTGGATTGTGTTTGGTCGGCTGTTGTGCTGATTGGAGGCACATGGTCACTACCATTGGCATCAGAAGCAACTGTGCAGGTTTGGGCTTTTGCTCTATCCTTTTGCCAAGCTGGCTGATGTCTTCAGTGGATGGTGGCGGAATTGGCACACGAGTCAGGCACAGCAGGATCTGGAACGAGTCCAACTGGAATTGGACAAGGATGAATTCGACCAAGCGATGTGCCCCATTTGTTTGGAGCCTCCCGGCTTCCCAAAGAGAGGCTGTGTGACCACTGATTAGTACTAAAGCAGAGACCCCTCCATAGTTACCTATATACATATATATATACATGAGTCAAAAGGTGAGACTACAATTATGGTTTTGTAAATGACGTTTCCAAAATAGCAGCAGGGATACAGTGGTCCCATTGAAAGTGAGCGATTGTTGTTCTGACACTGAGGGACTTTAACTTCGATGGTGGGAAAAGCGGGGACATGCAGAAGTTGGAGTGCAAGCACTGCTTTCATGGGGCATGCATTGCAGAGTGGCTTCGTGACCATGAGTGCCCTTGCTGATCGCGAAGTCTCCAATTATTTCAGATTGAAATCAGTGACTGATGCTGGTCCGCGAGGCGCTAACACGGATCCGCAAAACTTAGATCTGTGTTTACTCTCCCTCTTCGAGCTTCACTTCCGCGTTCATCTTCCGCGTTAAGACTTCCCGCTTTCATGCCCCCCCGTCGCTCGCCATATCTCGCCCTCGCTGGATCGTGCCACGCGACCTCGCAGAGACAGCGGACAGACGTCGGACGTCGTGGTGCCGTCGCTCAGGTCTTGCCCCTTGTGCCGCGCAGAGGTCGATGTGCAGCTAACAGAGGCGGATCAGAAGAAGCCCGAGCACTATCAGAGGCGGTTTTTCTGTGGGGACCGCTTGTTGCCGTCAGCTGGCTGGCAGGCTTTGGGCGTTTTTGGTCCCATACGGATAGGAGGCAAAGAAACAAGACAGGTAACCCATTTGCATCCATTTGCGGTTTGAGACCGACATGTTGGTGACGAGCTGAGGACCAGCTAATCAGCTAATTATCCAATGTTTCGGGATGTTTCGGGCAGATGTTTGATCAGTACACTTCTGAAATTAGACCATATTTGGATTTGCAGGAGGCCTGTCTTTGGAGGCCTTTCCATCGAGGGCGTCCCACGTGGATCTGAAGGAGTTTGTTCAAATGGGTCTCTACCCGGACCCTTGATGGCAATCGCCTTCAAATTAACACAAAAGAGATCAAAGCTACATATATTTGATGATCATTATTATGTCCTTCATGCATTATTTTCCTATCCTATCTTACCAAATGAATAATAGTGCATGAATGTGCATGATCCACTTTCATTTTGGTCAGTATTTCATAAATTAAAGGTGGGTTAGAATCTTAAGGTGATATCGGGTTCCAAGATCTACTGCAAAATAGAATCATGCACGACTCCTGGAACTTGGAACCCGAGATCATATTCAAAAGGAAAGAGGGCCCATAACAGGTCCCATGTGAAGATTCAGATGTGGGCGGATAACCCCCTTTTTCAAAGCAAACATCGCCTGTTCGAAAGGAACAAGCATGAACACCAGGCAGGTCTTCCGATTTCAACGGACACATACACACGCTGGTGCACAGCCGGGATTTGACATGTGTGGACGTCCAAACCGCAAGGCGCTTGCGGTTCTACCTCTCAAGGTTGAGTTCACGTTGCATGGAAGAAGCGAGTGGGCCTTGGTGGGCTTGCAGGTCAAAGGACTTGTTATGTTCTTTCTATGACGTTGGGTGCAACTTTGGACATACCTGTCAGCAAGTCTTGGTTTTTGAGAAGCACGAGGGGACAATGTGGCAGAGGATTAGATATAAGTTAGGACTTTAGGACAGATAGACGGTAGACGTCTGAACATGAGCAATCACGAGCAAGGGTGGAGTGCACTGCTTGGGGTGGATTCAGCGACTTTGTCACCTTGGGAGAATTCCAAGACTCCTTTTGTTGTTGCCTAAGAAGGGCCTCAGCGGATGATCCTTGTTACCCTCGGCTCCTCAGGTTATCCGAGCACCTTTCGTTCCTCCCGCACGCCTTTCTACACCTCAAGCAATGATCACTACTTTGTGTACGCTTGGCTCTCAGGTGGTGTTGCCGGGATCCCATTGAGCCTGTGGGACATTGTGGGACCAGCCGACTGTGCTTTGCTGTAGGGAATGTCGTGCTTTGGGAAGTGCTGTACGACGTCATGAATTGATGTACGCTCCAGGTTGGCACATGTTCCTACCCATATTGATTGTTAAGCATATTCACACCAGGAAGACCCTGTTCCCATACCAACCGGGTCAGGGCTGTGTCAAATTGTTTAGTCAAATAATTAAAGCAGGACTCGAGTGGGGTGAACATTTCTCACTTGTTCTTGAATGGCCTACGGCCTGAAGGCCGTTCTGAATTGATGAGATGCTTCATACCTCCGCGTCCCGGTAGACATTCACGAAGTCTCCACCTTTGCAATCTCCGAAGGCATTTTTGGACCCTGATGTTCTGCTGAGACCACCTGGAAGTCAGTTCCAGAAATGCAAAGTCATAGAGGCCAATTGAAGCAGAAAGAATCCATCCATCCGCCCTCACCATTCTCATTTCTACCCTCACCATCCATCCGCCCTCAGCCCGGCTGGGTCCGAACTTCCAAGGTGCACAGTCCTGGATGGACGGACTCCTTGTCGGGGCACTTCCACAGCATCACCACGGCCTCCAGCCACATGGCCTCTGTGGGCCCAGGCCGATCCCGGTGAGCCGGGGCAGAGGTGAGCCTCCAGGTCCGTGTCCGCTGCCTCAGCTACAAGGAGATGTGGTTCTGTGGGACAGCAGCTAAAGTGTGGTTGTCATGCCGTGCCTGCAGGCGGTGGTGGCGGTGGTGGTGGCTTCGGCGGGGGCGGCTTCGGCGGCGGTGGCGGCGCGGGCGGCGGATGGTGATGTGGCGGGCCGGCGCGGAAGCGCAAATGAGATCCAGGTAGGGGCCATGGATTTACTTGATTCATTTTGATATACTGTATCTATTGAATCAACCGTGAGTCCATGAGGGGAGCAATCACCCTTTGGCACTGCTTGATCTTAATTTAGTTCTGGGTCGAAAGACAGGAGGTGGCCTGTGTTATTCTTCCAATGTTAATGTTGTTTCACGCTAGGATGTCGTATACATGTCTCACTTTACTATCGTTTGGCTCAAGGAAAACCAGGTGCGACTTGTTGGTAGCTATCGGTCGTTTACCTGTATCTACAGGTTATCAGCCGTATCGCCATAAGTGCGGTACGTGCTTTCTACTAGCTGTGGTCTCACCCCACCCTAGGTAGTGCACTATCTAGAGGCCATGGCTGATGATGATGGTTCCCGTGGTGACCGCTCACGATCAGGCTACGTTCCTACTTCGCCTGCGATGTCCAGTTCACCTGCTGCTGATCTCCCTGTTGTTCCGCTGGAGTTGCGTGTACCAGTTGCGCCACCAACGTTCAGTGCACAGGGGGACCTGTTGCCTAGTGGTCAAGTACCATCGCCGTTTCAGCCTGAGTTTTCTCCTGTGATGAATGTCCAGAACGTTGATGCGAGACAGATCCATCAACAAGCAGTCTTCGTCAATGAAGACAGGTCAGCACAAGTAGCTCAGATCGCAGAGTTGCGGCATCAGGCCATTTTGGCAGAGCACGGGCAACAAGTAGCTGAGGAGGCTAGGCATTTTAGAGACGTAGTGGAGAACCAAGCTAAAGTGGCTGTCCAGGAGTCTAGGGAACAGATTGAGGCTTTAGCCAATCGACGATTGAGTGACATGAACCAAGCCCACCAAAATCAAAATCTTCAAGAACAACGGGCTTACTTAGATCGCCTTTCGCTCGAACGACACACCGTCGTTGAGAACGAACGCGCCTCTGCCAAGCAAAGAGAGGATGCACTTCGGTCAGAGTTAGCAGAACAGAGTCGAATCATCAAGGAGTTGAGAGAGAGGTTTGACAACGCCTCGGGGAACCGAGTGCCTGCACCATTAGTGCAGCCACCTGGCTCTCAGGTGTCCCCAGCTTTGCCTCCAGCGGGCCTTCGCACTCAGTTGGAGAAGCCCGGGATCGAAGGCGGTGATGAGCCTCATCCATCCGATGCTGATGAAGAGGGTGATGACAAATCAAAGAAAGACAAAAGAAAGAAGGGTAAGAATAAGAAGAAAGAGAAGAGCCCTAAGAGGGGCCGCTCGCGGGAGCGCAGAAAGAAACGCTCTCCTTCCCCATCACCATCGTCACCAAGTTCATCAGGAGGGAGTAATGACTCAAATGACTCAAGCTCTGAATCATCGCGTCTTGCACGCATCATTCGCAAAGAGTTGAAGAAGCAGCAAAAGAAGTCGAAAGACAAGGATCATGAGAGTAAAGCCAAAGAAGCTGACAAAATTCTCATTCCCAAGTTCCCCACGCCTGAGAAGTACAGAGATTGGAAGATCAAGGTGAGGGACAATATTGCTGCAGCTTCAGCGAAGCCGGATGAAGCAAGATCTTGGGTTGGGAAAGTATACAAAGATGCCCAAACCATTGATGCCTTGGATGATTCAGAGGGATTTGCAACCCTCGACGCAAAGCTTCTTGCAAGCTTAACAAATTGCGCTGAGGGGGACCTCGGTCGGCAGATTGCCACATTCAAGGAGCTGCGTGCTCGTGAAGACAAGAACGTGAAGGGTAGACACTTGCTCCTTCGGTTCCACGAGTATTTTGCCACAAGCATAAAGCATGGAGCAATCTACGGGCTCGAAGACCTCATGTCCGTCAAAATGGTCAACGATGACCTCAAAGGCTTTATAAATAAATGGGATAGCGTTCTTGCCGGAATGAAAAAGGAACCGGAAAACAGTGTTCTGGAAGCCTATTTTCACCTGGCAGTGAAGCGTTTCAAGCCGCTTGAGCATGACTTGGCCTTGTACGACCGTGCAGCCGATGGAAGCAAAGAAAGAACATATGACTTCCTGATTACTGCTGCCCGGGCCTATCTAGAACGGAAGAGGTTGGAAAAGATGCGCGACGCCACGAAGCGTTCGCTCGGGTCCAAAGACACAACCATGCCAGCTCCGGAGGAGAAGAAAGGCATCTGCTACGAGTTCCAAAAGACCGGAAAATGCAAGCGCGGATCATCATGTCCTTACAAGCACGAAAAAGGCCGCGAGAAAAGCAAAGGAAAGGGAAAGGGCAAGGATCGCAGCCAGTCTCGGTCAAGATCGCTGACACCAGGATCTCGCAAGGAGACTTGCAAGTTTTGGAAGGCAGGACATTGCCACCGAGGAAAAGACTGCGCATTCCAACACCCTGAAAAGACTGTCCCTGCGAAGAAAGAGGACAAAAAGAAGAAGAAGAAGAAGAAAGACAAGAAACCTCGCAAGCGAAGCAGCTCCCGAGGATCATCAGGCTCCGAAAACTCAACTGGCTCCGAGAGTCAGAGGAGAAAAAGTGGGAAGTCTTCTTCTTCCAATGCACCGGCAGCGGTATGCCTCCTTCGAGCAGTGGTCATGGCCGCAGTGGTCTCTCAGGGATCCTCCGTCCTCATCACTCGCCCGCTGGGAAGCGTGGCCATGCCAGTCCTTTCCGCATCAAACACTATGTGCACCGATTTTGACAACACAGAAAACATTGACAGTTTTGTTACGCAAAGAGTTCGTTTTGACGATCAACCAAACGTTTTCAATCATGCTGTTGAGTCTTCTTCCAGTTGGAGGTCCGTTCAACCCCGGAGTAAGAAGAAACGAAGACCCTTTACACCAGGTCGACCGGAGCATGCTGAGGCAGTTCGTGTCGCCACTGAGGACGCATCCATTGCAGCATCACACCTTCAGAATGCTGTCAGGAACGAGCTTTTGTCCTTGCCGGCAGAATGTTCGTACCTGTGCAACTCTGATATAGGTTGCATCAAGTGTTTTGAGAGGAGGTCATGTCCAACAGTGCCAGCCACTGAGATTGCATGGATTGCAGATACTGGCAGCGCACACGATCTCGTATCCAGACACATGCTACATTCGGATGAAGTGTCACAATCGTCCAAACCGGTCAGCCTTCTTACTGCCAACGGAGTCTTTCAAGCCACTGATCAAGCCAGAGTCAATGTTCCCGTGCTGGGAACTGATATCAATCCTTATGTCTTGGAAGATAGCCCAGCCGTCGTATCGGTAGGTCAACGCTGCATCGACGCAGGATGGAGCTTCCACTGGCCCGCTTACAGTAGGCCATACTTCAAGAAACCAGACGGAACCAAAGTCAAGCTTGAAGTAGAGGATTATGTTCCATACTTGCCATCCACCACAGGTGTTGCAATGTCCGCCATAGGTCAACCTTACGGTACGAACGATCGGTCAAAGGGGCTGCGACCAATGATCCCTCTGCCCGCGTCACCGGCTGAAGAGGCAATTGAAGTCCAGGATGATGAGGACAACCCCATCGGCGAGGATCCTGTTGAAGATGATACCGAGCCAGTGGATGAAAGGTTGGTGGAGAAGCCGTTGGACCCGAAGAGGGATAGGGGAGAGAAAGCTCTCAAGGAAGAAGCACAATCCATTCAACATCTGTTGACTCATACCCCAAAGAACCCCTTTTGTCAAGCCTGCTCGAGAGCAAAGATGACCAAGCGTCCATCGTATAGCAAGGGTGGTTCAACCCAGGTAGAGGCGGATCATTTCGGGCAACATTTGACTGCTGACCATCTTGTTATTCGTGATGATGAGGAAATGGACATCGATGGGGCTCGCGTCGCATTGGTCGTGAAAGACGTGGCAACGGATTTCAGGTATGTCTATCCGGCCGCCCGTCGATCAACACGTGAATGCATAGCAGCCTTCAAGCATTTTGTCCGTTCGACTGATGATGTAGGAGTATTTTATTCCGACAATTCACCAGAACTCATCGCGACTGCCGAAAGGCTAGGATGGAGACATCAAACCAGCTTTGCATACGTCTCTAAGACCAATGCTATGGCTGAAAGATCGATTCGGTCCGTCATCGATGGAACAAGGGTAAACCTAGAGCAAGCTGGCCTACACCATCAATATTGGGCTCACGCTGCCAGGCATGCATGCATGGCAAACAATATCGTCGACACCCGGGAGGGTAGTTCGCCTTGGTCGCTTCGGTTCGGTGAGAAGTTCAAAGGCCCTTTGGTTCCCTTTGGGTTGAGGATTGATTACTGGATCGGCCCCAAGAACAAAGCCAAGTCCTCTCTCAGGTTCGAGCCGACGTCAAACCCAGGGATATTCTTGGGATATGCCGTTCAGTCCAATTTTGTGTGGAGAAAGGAGTTCATGGTTCTACCATTGAAGGATGTCATGGAATCAGACTTCAGTGCGGAGATTCAACCATTAAGAGTCCATCAGATCGCCGTTCCCGACATCGGATTACACTTCCCATGCAAAGGCAGGTACAACATGATAAGAGAAGGGTTGTACCCAGGCATTTCCATTTCGAGCAATCCGCCATCAATTGATGATGTCAAGGCTGCAAATATTGAAGAGCTTGTTGATCAGGAGGTTTTGAAACATGCTGTTGATCAAGAGTATGAGCCTGATGAACCACCAGAACTCCCTGACGTGCTAGTTGACGATGCACCAATCGCCGCTCGCGGGTCGGAAGACCTTGCCGACAATCCGGGGGGTGAAGAGGTTGAGATGATTGAGGTTCTTGATCCTGTTACGGGTGAAACAACTTTGATCCCCAAAACCGGTTCATCCTACTACGATGCCGGAGGCTACAAGGCAAGAAAGTACAAGGGTTCGTCAAAACCACCCAGCATTCCTCCGTTCCTTTGGAAAGCCGCTTCCAAAGCAGAAAGGAAGAAGGCAATTGCAGAATACGAGCTTGAAGAGGCTCGGAAGCGCCTTCTTGCTGAGAAGAGCAAGCATAAAGCAGCTGTGGCAGAGATTGACGGCAAACTGCGAAATTTCAAGAGCGGAGACATTCCCTCTGAAGCAAAAATGGACGCCACCTGGGAAGGTGTACCTTTGATGCCGGTTGAACATGAGGA